TGAGTTCCAAGCTTTATAGCAGGTTTGTCAAACTGGTTCCAGAAAGGGCTGTGTGGCTGCAGGTTTCCTTTCCAACCAAGCAATCCATACTAGACTCCAGTCATCTCATCAAGGGAGTCCAATCTGAACATGATGACTCGCTGGTTAAGGGGGAGGACTTAGTTTTCAGCTCTCAAAAACCTACAACGCCTACAACCTATAGAGTCGATTCCTTCCCCCTCTCATAATCCTCATTACCATGCAGGAGACTAAAACATCTTGCCTGGTCAGTCAGGCCAAAATTAAGTGTTTGTGGTTTTGTTTTTTGTTTTTTTTTAGTGTGATTTGTGGTGCCTTAATGAACCGTGTCACTGCAACAGCCACAATAAAAGCAAGTTCTGGAGAAGCATCAAAAAACCTGGTCTGGTGGAGGTGCGGAAGTTCAATCTTCCCCCGGCAGAGCTTGACAGTGACATTTGCTTTGCAGGTAGTAGACCTCATCATGTATCCAAAATCCTCAGACTTTAATTAACCTTCTTTTAACCGGGATTTGTTCAATATCTTTTCAGACGAAATGTTGCAAAGCTTCGGTCTTTGGCAATTGACTTTGTTCATGTACATTAAGGCTGATCTGGCACAGCATCCAGATGGGAATACAAACCAGCAAGACCTTAGCTCCAGGTGAGACTTTAATCAATGGGGTTCTTCCTAACAGGAGCTCAGCTCTTTCTAAAGAAAGTTTAAACAATAACAGTTAGGTTTATTTGACTTGTTTTCAGTTTTTCAAGAAACTTACTTGAAAAGGTTTATAAACTATAGACATTGGAATGCTATACTCTTTATTTGTTTACAATCAGGTAGTTTTTATTACATTTGTCACTTTTTTATTTCTGTTAGACTTTTACAGTTAATTAGAACCTGCAATTTGAAAAAATTAAAAAATTACATCAGACCAACAAGCTTATGTTGTATCCTGCACAACTATAAGGGCGCCCTCCAGAAGGAGAGCAAGACACAAAAGTTGTTGTAACTAGTCATATTGACTAAATAAAAAAAAGGCTCACAAATAGGGAAAAACAACAGTCTACTGCCGCATTGGTTTTTGTTTGTTTTAAGCTACTCCTAAACCAGACAATGTGAGACCTGTCCTGACTACATTCATGACTGTATTACTGTGACTGATTAGGTAGCAGATGTACCTGAACTAAACCCAACACAAAGTCTATTATAAGAAACCAAAAACAGGATTGCAGGGCTTCTCTGATTCCTCCTGAACTCATCACCTCAGTGTCATGCTACATTTATGCAGAACTTCATGCAAAATGAACCCTGATCCATTAATTAATAAACTTCATGGAGATCATAAAGTTAATCTTCATCCGGCTGGCTGTTGCATTATTTATTTATTTTTTATTTTTTTACCCTCATGCAATATTGTAATTTTCCAGAGTTACCAAATCTGGGTTTGTATTAGTTTTTAAGCCAATTGAGCTGAAATAAACGAACAAATTTGATCTGTCTGCACTAATTGGTTTCACGTTTTCAACCAGACTACATCATTCGGCCATTCTGATGGAGGTTTCTTCCTGTTAAAAGGGAGTTTTTCCTCTCCATTGTCGCTACAAGCATGCTCAGTGTGAGGGATTGTATTTGAGTCAATGAGTCAATGCAATCAACTGGTTTTCCTTAGATAGAAAACTTTGTATCAATTTGACTGTATGATCTAGTTGAACTGTAAAGTGCCTTGAGATGACATGTGTTGTGAATTTGGCGCTATATAAATAAACTGAATTAAATTGAATTGAATTGAATCATAAATGTGTTTTTCCAAAATTAACTTTGATGAATCCCAGCGGTTTTATTCGGCTACTGTCTGCATATCATGTATAATGCACATATCAGCGGTATAAGGCACAGTTCATAATGTGTGCCCAGGATAAGATTATTGCCTTTTTTCTCAACCAAAAACATGTTTAATGTAGATAATAAAATAAAAAGACTGGGCAGAAATGAATATATACCCCGGTTGAAATATTACTGAATAAGCTAATTTTGTGTATTTTCTGCGTCTCCTCAGGTTCGAGCCTATGTTTGAGAGGGTGACCAATTTCCTGGACAAAGTTGAGAAATACGGCGGTCCCGCTGCGGCCATCATGTATCTTGGAGCTGCTGAAAAGTTTATGAGTCTCTTTCAAATGTCCGGGTGAGGAACAGCAGGCTACCTTCACTCTGAACTCCTACACAGTCTGGAAAAAACAGGAAATGTGTAAAGTTTAGTTTATAATGGCAGAAAATGTAATTTTAGAACCCCTCTAGAAATAAGTAAAAAAATCTTAAATTTAGTGTATTTACTCTAGATATGAATAGGTAATAAGATGATTTGCCAATGGAATTAGTATTTTTACTTTAAAATAATTTAATTGGATAAAATACCCTTGAAATTAGACAATGCAATAGTTTTTCCTTATTTTAAATGTAAATTGTCTTATTCCATTGGCAAAGTGCTTCACTTACCTCCTCAATTCATGACAAGATGCACTTATTTGAAGAAAAAATGACCAATTATGATTTCAATTTATTGCTGCACATTCTTTATTCCCTGCCTTCTGTCTTACTGTAGCATCATTCTGTCTGTGTGTCTGAATGCTACATATCCATCTTTTCACCAATCCAACTTTTTCTAAACTTGAAACGCCTGCAGTAAATCGTAAATCCTAATTTGTCTTGGGAACCCATCAACTGTTAAACTCACTCTGTTTCCCTATTTTTATGGATATTCTTTTATTTACAGGCTTTTAGAATCATCCTCACCCTCTACATCATTAGAGACTATCAGAATGTTACTGAACAGGTAAAATCTAGTCATGTTATAACAAGTTGTAAAGTTTTAAAGTTAACTGTTAGCTTTTGTTTGTGAACATATCAACCATTTTTTGGGCTGCTTTTTGTTTTGAGTCAATTAAAACCAGATGAGGGTAACGAAATGAGCTTTGGTGGATAGATTCGGATGATCCGCTAAATCTTTGATTTGTTATCAGATATTTAGAAACACTGTTCCTCTGGAATAGCATGCTGCAGATCATGTCCTGTATGCGCCACGTGTTTCTGCTTTATAATTCTTCAGGGAAAATATCTAAAACTTCATATAGGATATTACTGTTTAAAGGAAAAGTCCGGTCAGAAAGGAATAATCAGTGGATCATTATCTATACCTAGAACTAATACATTGGCTGTGATTTAATGAATTTTAGTGTTAATCAGTAAAAAAATAAATATATAGTAAATTTTGTCATGATCACTGAGTCTGGGAGCAGCATTTTTGCAGCCATATATTAACACCTCATTCCTTCCGGCAGTGACGTCACGGTGCGGTAAGCCTAGTCCCATTCTCCCTGCTTGTCAATGGGAGCTAGACACGTCTGCAATCAACAACAATTATTTAAGATTTCCAGAGGACTTCATCATTTAAATTCGTGAGAGCTGTAGTTAAACTGACAATGCCCATGTGCATTGCAGTTAGATGTTGCAATACATTGGGTGAAAGTGAAAAGAAAATGTGTTATTTCACCTTTCTGATTCCTGATTCTCCATGGACTGGTTTGTCATTGAATTGCAAACTTGAAGAGGGAGAATTTGCCATCAAACTTCTCGTCAGAGAAAAAACACGTAATATGTAGCCAACATTTCGAAGAAGAAAGTTTTCAAAATGACTTATAATAGTGCGTTGTGACAAAAACACCAGATACAGCACTGGGACTTGCTTAACAGGCAATACCACACCGCGAAGTCACAAACAGGTAGGTGGCAGTAGTGTTCTTTGACAAACATGGATGTTTACGGTAAAGCACATTCAAATGAATGAATTGCTCTTAATCAATAACAACATGTGATAGTTTCATATTTAAAGTACTTTCAGAGGTTTTAATTTCCTAATATGATCGGACTTTTCCTATAAATACCCCTTAATTTCATCTAAATAATATTTTGTGTTGGTTTTACCTTTTTTTAAAGAAATTTATATATATATATATATATATATATATATATATATATATATATATATATATATATATATATATATATATATATATATATATATATATATATATATATAATTATATATATATGTGTGTGTATATATATATATATATATATATATATATATATATATATATATATATGTTTTTTTTTTTAAGCAGGATTGTGATTTTTTAAAACAATACTTTATAAATTTACTTTTGTCACAAGTTTAAAAATGGCATTTCTTTTACTTCCCATAATTGCGCTAGCAATTGGCCAGCATGCAAAATAAGTTTTCCTCTATTTATTGCACTGAGTGGGATTCAGGCTGAATTCTCTGGGTATTTAAGTCAGTAGGCTGCACACCATCGTTCTACTTGCTACTTTAAGTCTCTGCTGCAGTGAAAGAACAGGGACAGTGGTGCACAGTGGTGTATGGTGCACCTCTAGTCCCATCACAGACTCTATATAAGAGTAAGATAATAAAACCTTTGTTTAGCATTAAAAAGGGTGGAAAATGGGAGGCTGATCAGTGATTGAACAAGACCAGAGTAAATAGTTTGTTGTTTTTTGTTTTGTGTTTTTCCTTACGAGTGTGCACCACCCTGGTGTTATCTCAACTCGTCACCAGAGGGAGCAACCACCTAAAAAAAACTCTGGAATTTGTGCTCTGCCCCTTTAAAGTTAGTATTGGGTGAAGGGCAGATCCATTTTATACATAGTAATTGATTTTATTTACTTTTTTACATTTCTTTTTGTTACACACACTCAGCAACCCAAAAATGAACACCAAATACCTATTCACCAATGGTTACACAACACAAACTTGATAATACTGTATTAATATATGGTTAATAACTTTGTTTTTTTTCACTTGCCAATTTTTAAAGATTATTTTTCTGAAATGTTCTCTTCAGAGTGATATCATCAGTACAGACAATTATGGTGATGGCTGAGCTTACTCCATTGTTTGTGCAAAAACTTCAAGATTTTTTCCTGAACAAAGTATATATTCCAGCTGAGCTGATGACCTTAAAGAACAGGTGTGCATTCTTTTTTACTCCCTTGAGTTTAAAGATCAGAATCACTCCTATGCTCTGGACTTGACTCTGTATCCCCGTACCTCAGTCTCTGCATTCGATCCTGGAAAGATGCCCTGCTGTTGTCAGTGCTTAGGGGAAAGTGGGACGAGAAGGACGTCCTAACTGAAACCATCTCTGTGGTTCGGCTGAGAACTGAACTGCTTCAGCGTCAGGGAAGGTTAACACCTGTTCCTTCTCCAAGACATTTTAAAAATCTAACCTATAGCCAGCCTTTGTAGAGGAAATAAAATAACTTGTTTTTTAATGTTCCAGGTATACACAGTTATGTCGATATCTGCAAGTCGTCCACACTGATGACCCCACACTGTGAGTATAACAGACTGTCTGCATAAACATTACAAACCGCTTTGAGTGTTGACATGTCAGCTTTTGTTGTTGTTGGCACTTAATATAAAGATCAGTAGAAACTGAAATATTATTTTATTGCCGCAGTATAAACTCCGAATGTAAGCTTTTAGAAAAACTCAAGCTTCAGTTAGGTCACTTGTTTAGGGGGAATTATTGATTCTGTTTAACAAAAATAACCCACCGCTTCGAATAACTTTAAGATGAATTTGACACTTTCCAGTTGGTCCTTAAAATTTAAACATGTGGAATTATTACTTTCTGCTTCTTTTTGATGGAAATATTGGCTGGGCTCTCATAAATGCTCTTTAAAATAGGAAACTAGAAAACATTCCTTTTATTTAACATTGATCTGTCTTAGTCTCTATAAATTGGAAAATTGACTTAAAATTAACTTTTTTCTTAGGCCTACTTATGTATAGAATTAAAGCTGAAATAAAAGGCTGTAAACATCAGTAAAGTTGGCTGGATGGAGACCAAAGCTGGCTCTGTCACCATGCACAGTGAGCAGGATGATCCAAGGATGAAGATGAAGCTGTAGTCTTTGTCAGATGAGAATGTGACTGAGTTTTACTTAGAGATGAGGTAACAGACAAACCTCTTCAACATCACATCATCCCATTGCTGTGTGTAGTGACCTGCAATATTATTAACTCCTTTTGGCATTTTTCATATACCTTCCCTTACAGCATGGATTTTATTTTAAGTCTTTTGGGACCAGAGGCATTTAATTGATAGTGGTTAGGAAAATGAGGAGGGAGAGATAAACATTTGGGGATTCAAATCCAGGGGTGCGTTTTACAAAGCAGGTTAACTGAAAACTGACATCAGTGAAACTGAGTTTTCCATTTCACAAAGAGAGTTTACTCAACCTCTGTTTCGGTCACCGTAGTATCATTCTCCCCAGAATTAACCAGGTCAGGAACAGGTTTTGTTTAGTAAACTCAGAGTGTCCTCTGTCTCCACTCTACTTACAGCCGATCGATCACACAGTTTTAATTCCCGATTTTTTTTTTTCATGTCATAACTTTGTGCATAAAAAAAAAATAATAATAATCATCCACTAGGTCCCTTAGACACAGATTTTTTTTTTTAAACAAACACTGGATGTCCCTCTAACGAGGATGCTGATCACAAAATGATCTCACAGAGAATTAAATACTTATATGTAGAGGATTCTATGAGATTTATTTGTTTTTGGTTTCCATGTTTTACTTTCCAGGCCTTCACTGTTTTCAAGTCAGTATCACCAGTGACGTCTTCAGAGTCTGATCTTTGGACTGATATCATAACAGTGACATCCAGGAAGCATTGAGCTTATTGCTGACCAGAATATCTCAGCTTTATGATAGATTGAAAAAATGATTTTGTTCCTGAAAGCGTCTCCAGACAAGGAGTGGATTAAATATGGGCAAGAATGGTTGCTACAACTTATAGAGTTTCCTAATCTTTTGTTGATTATTTTTGTTGATTAAATTGGATCTTTATTAGAGATCTAGGCCTGTTTTTCTACCAAAGATGCCAAGAACCTTGTTAAAGTGCTTGAAAGAAAAAGAGCAAACGAAGGAAACCCTGAGTTGTTATATTTAGTAGGCGAAGGCATAAAGTAATGTCTGATTGGCTGAAGTGGATCTGGATTTGTTTTTACTCCACTCTTTGGTGTGCTTGACAAAGATATTGTCATGATTGGTTTAAGGATCTAAACCCACATGCAGAACACCACTGGAGACAGAGTAAAAGTTCAACAGAGTTTATTGAATGGTTTTCACACAATGACATGAACTGGTTCAGGAAACTGGTCCGGGCAGGATTCACTGACGTCTGCAGAGACGGATAGTTTGATTAGCCAAGTTATCAGATGATTTGTTGAGTTTTGATATTTTGAAAATACCTTGAAGAGGTTCAGGCTTTCCTTGTGTGAGAGGGGGAACCGGTTGGGTCCAGAGACTGTTGGTTCAGCAGAGTGCACAGCAGCAGCAGCGTCTAGCTTCTGGCTAGTGAGTGTCAGACCTTGGTTTGGGATTCCAGCTCTTCTCTGAGAGCAGCAGGAGGAATCCAGATTGAGATCTTCAGGTTTGGCTCTCTAGGGCAGGCAGGCAGGTAACAGGCTAAGCTCTTCCAGAGCTTCAGACTTGAGACGGGTTTCCTGTGAGCGAGAAGACAGAGGCAGATTAGAATCAGGTTTCTCTCTTGAGATAACTAAGATTCTTCAGGTAACAGAGGCTCAGGTTCGCTAACCAAACTTGGTCAACACTGCGGCGTTGAAGGAAGGTCTGGCAGCTGCTTAAGTAGGGAAGGTCTCCTGATGGGCTGACGAGCTCCAGGTGTGCTGGAGGGCTCCAGCCCAGGAGACCCACGGCGCACTCTGCTGGAGAAAGGTGGTACTTCTCCAGATCCCAACAGATATTTCATTTAGGAAAATGTTTTATAGAAACTGAATCTGACTCTGCTAGAGTTAACTCCTGCCTCAAACATTGGAAAAGAAAGTTAAATCAGTCCAAAAAACAGTTAAAAATGGAAATAACCCCAAGTTTGGAGCAGCGAAACAAGCAGCTTGTATGTTTGAAATATTAAAGACTTCATTCAAAATTTCCTAATCAGTGAATGGGGGATAATTTAAATACTATAAATAACATCAGATGGAGTTTTGCAATTGAATAGCTTCCTAAGTTTAATTATCTTACAAAGAGGGTTCTGCCAACTAAATCCCTAACTCATGAATTCCATTTCCGTTTTTCAGCTCTTTAGGCTTTATTTTGCTTTTCAAACCTCATTTGAAAAGTGTTTGAAGAATAAAAAGTTTTATGCTGATTAAGGAATGCTTTTTCTTTTCTTTTTTTTTTTGTTTCTTGCAGCCTTGAGCCGATCAAAGACCTCATTCCTTTCTTCTTGTGCAAGTTGGGACAATTTTCATCAGCTTTGACCAACCTCTTCCCTAAAACCGAAGTCCCCAACTCCCACCTCACTCCGACCACTTTTCTCCTTTATCTCCGGATATTTGAGACAGCATCGGCCCCAGACTTGGTAGTCATTAAGCCAGAGCACCTCTGCTATCCTGATGCATCCTGGGCACCAATCAAAGGTCAGATAGTGGTGATTTGCTTGGAACAAAACATGTTCTACTACTACTAAAAGAAGGTTTTAAACTCCTCTCTCTTCTGTGTAGATGCTGTGCCACTGACAATGAGGAAACTGATCGAATTTGGCCTCCAAGCCCAGAGATCCTCTGAGTCAGTCTACTCGGATGTAAGTGTCCCCTTCCTGTTTCAGACAAGTTTTAAACAAATTAGTAGTTTTATGACTGCAAGGTGCCAAGGTCCTTGCAAAACCAGCCCAAGATGAAGAGTTGTTTATTCTGAGATTCTTTGGTCCCCCCCCCCCCCCCCCCCCCCCCCCCCCCCCCCCCCCCCCCCCCCCCCCCTCCAAAAAATACGTAACTATGCATTATGACCAGATTTTTTTTATTTCTATTTATCTACCTAAAGGAGATTGGGTTCATTCATAGGAAACTTTCAGATCTCACTTATTTGTAGATGGGCCACACTAGTTCAATGTTTTTCATTACACTTAGAGAGACTTATTTTTTGACCCAACAAAATTCTTCTCTTTTCACTACATTAAAGCTACAGTGTGTAATAATTACAGGGATATACAGTCAGGAATGTAATATATTATACATAACTATGTTATTTATCATCATCTACAAGCTCAGCCTCTTAACCTTAATATTTGCGTTGCCTTAGAATTCGTTATTTATAATTACATAGGAGCGGGTCTCGCAGCCATGGAGGCTGACATCTTTGCGCTACGGCAGCGCAGAGCCAACAAACTAGTGATTGCGAGATCGCCCATTATGCTCGAAAGTAACTACAGCAAGTTGAGAGAGATGAACTGAAATCTATACCCTACACAGACTAATGAAATACTATCTGTAAAACGATCTATGTAAACAAACCTCATCACTTGAGGAGGTAGGTGATGCGGACGTCGTGGAAGACATTTTGTCCTGTAACGCTCGCCGTACTGTTGGGGGGGAGAAGCGGTGGGGGGGAGATGTTCATGTTGCTGCGGTCTGCAGTCTGGACGTTAGATGTCGCTGAAAATTACACACTGTAGCTTTAAAGGTATCATCATTAAAGGTATCATCAAGGATTTTCCAGAATTTTTGAAAAGTCCCGCCCTCTCCTTTTAAAAAAAGGAATGCACAATGCTGTACCCGCTCCCGAGAGGGAACACCTATTAAACACGTGCAAGAGCGTGCACAAGCCCATTTCTCCTCGCTTTACCAGCAGTGGTGCGAAATGGATTTCTCTAAATAGCATGCCAAACTTTACCTGTCCAGTAGAAAATTCATAACTAGGCCATCAGTGGGAAGCCTGACCTGTGCTTTTAGTGTACCTGATCATGTGAAAAAATCTCTGACAATCACTCTTAGTCTTTTTTCCCTCTTCTGATGCATTTCTCTTCTTCTAATACACTTCGTAGAAACTTTTTTTCTCATACGCCCCTCGGCCAATTTAAAAGAACCGCGGTGAGAAAGGCTTCAATGACTGGCTGAAACCATAGCTCACGATACACATATATGCCTGAAAGTGCGCATGCACAGAAACATATCATCCAGAATGATTGACAATTAGGATAACCACTTATTTTGATGATCCACCCAGAAAAAGAACATCCTCCCCTATATCTTTAAGATGAATGATATTCTGACTCATTAGTATTATGTGTAGGCTTCAGTGACTGCCAAGACTGAGATCTTGTTATAGATCTGTCAACAGATTATGCACAGGTGCTGGTCATATAATTACAATGTCATGAAATTATGATTTTGTTTTTTCTAATTCAGAAAGTGAAACCTGTATATTCATTTATTACACACAGACTGACTTTTATTTGTATTTGTCTTCTTAAACTAAGCAAACAAGCATGTTGGAGAGTTTGACTGTGTCTAATTTTCTCTCTAAGTCTCTGTGTTGGACCAGTTTACTGAAAGTCATCTGCGCACCCGGTGGCACACCAACTGCTTTACCAGCACCCACAAAGAGGTTTTTGAATGTAGGCTCTTCCATTTTAATAATCCTTTCATGATCTGCTGTCTATGGAAGCTTGTTGTTTTAATGCTTCTGTTCTGTTCTTGGGGGTCCAGAAAAAGCGAGCTCAGGTTTCAGCTGTGCTCAGTGAGATGTGTTCCGGAATACAAACTCGTCAGTCCTTTTTTGGAGTAAGTGTGCAATATGTCGTTATTTAACTGCATGTACAACTGGGGTAAACAATTGTGTGTTTTTGTTGACAGGGATACCCAAGTCAGGCCTTGTTGCTGTTGGTAATAGCAGCTTTAGCCACCCGAATTCAGCAGAGTTCTTTTGGTCCATCCATGCCTATAGTAAATACTTTGAAGGTAATTTTCTCATTAATGAGTGTTTCTGTTAACAAGCTGTTAATCTGGCCGATGCTCTGTGCAGTTTGTTAAAAGCTGTCCACTGATCATGTAAATGTACTGAAGTGTCTGAATTAACCATTGTGGTCTGAGGTTTTGTGCCTTTATCCTGTTTTGCAGGAAAACATGTGGGCCTTTCAGTGGCTGTGTGACAGTTTGGATGACGAGCATTTCAACTCATTCATTTTGGACATGGAGACGTCGATTGCATTGAGAGCATCAGGTATGAAAGCGTGCATCTGACACCCACTGCGATAACTATATATATAAATATCCATCTATATAAATACCCATGTAAACATCCTGTGCAATAACCCTGTATAATGATCGTACTATTAAAAAAAAGGCTGCTATATGTGGACGCACTTTATGTACTTTATATATATATGCTATGCACCTTTTTTCTTCCTTTTGCACATTCTTCTTATTTGACTATTTGAGCAGATGTAACGAGTACATTTCTCCACTGTGAGATCAATAAAGTTAATCAATCAATGCAGCCTCAATGAAGAGCCAGAGCCCTGCAAACCTAATCCTATTCTAGGCTTGACTTTAAAAAATATAAAACATATTTAAATCAAGAAGTTTAACTTTCAATCAGATAGTTGATTAAATAGAATACTAATTTAGTTAAAGGAAAAGTCTGGTCATATTCAGAATTTAAACTTCAGAAAGTATTTGAAATATGAAATTATTTACAATAAAAAAAAAAGGAAAAAAGAAATATGAATTTCTTTAAAAAGGTAAAACCAACAAAAATTATTACTTAGATGAAGTTAAGGGGTATTTATAGGTAAAGTTCGGTCATATTCAGAATTCAAACTTCTGAAAGTACTTTAAATATAAAATTATTACATACTGTTCCATAAATAATAAGTGTTTTTAATTAAGAGTCGTTTTCAGTTGAATGTGCTTAACGGGAGGCATCCATGTTTGTCAAAGAACACTACTGCCACCTATTGGTTTGTGATGTCACGGTGCGGTATCGGCTGTTGATCAAGTCCCAATGCTGTATCTGGTGTTTGTCACAACGCGCTATTATCCAAGTCATCTTGAAAACATCCTTCTTCGAAATGTTGGCTACATATTACGTGTTTTTTCTCTGGCCAGAAGTTTGATGGTAGATCCTCCCCTCTTCAAGTTGGCATTCCAACGACCATGACCGCATTAACTCGTCTGCTGAGGGTCATGAATCACCTAATGTACAACAACATCAGCTGCATTCATTAAATCACAGCAAACTTATTAGTTTTAGGTATAGATAATGATCCATTGATCATTCCTTGGTGACTTCTTTAAATCTGTTGACGAGTTCCCTCGCTACAGGAATAAGAAATAGAAAGGAAATAAATAAACCAAGGTTATTAACACCCACTAGTGGCAAAATACGGGAAGTGCAACAGCGAATCTCTCGAGGACCGTGTGAGTTTCTGTGGACATTTAGCTCTTTGAAGGACCATGACTCCCAGCGTGGTACCATGACAGAAAATGTCCCGTTCAATAAGTCCAGTTATTTAAGTTCTTCAATATTAAATGTTCCCCAGTCAGCTGAAAGTGAACAACAGCAGCTCAGTCCTAAAGAGAGAGATGGGTGACATTGAACCAGAGGTGTGTGAGTGGAGGATCAAGCATATAATCTAACCCTAACCCTCCCTAAGCTTCCTGTGAACTTCAGATTAGCTAAAGATTGATTCAAATGAAAAATTTGTGGAAAAGATTTTATGACAAAGCAGCTTCCTCCAGTTAGTTAAAGTGTATAGGAAGTTTATGGTGCTGTAAATCACTCCCCAGGTGGACTTTAGAGTTTTGGAGACACGTTCCAGTGATAAATCATGCTTCTTGGTCATGGATACTGGAGAGCTGATCCTCAGGAGTCGGTTTCAGCCTTTTAGCTCCAGTAAGATTTAATGCTTTAGCAAATCAGGGTTTTTAAAAACAAAATAGTTCAACCAATACAGAATATTGAGAAGCAGGCAAGGTTTTTGTTTTCACTGCGAGAAAAAGGAGTAAAAAAAAAAAAAGGATTTTGCTTTTAAATGAAATATTTTCGGTTGGATGAAAAAAAAAAATCATGGCTAATTTTTCTGAGGCAGCTTTTCAGTTTTAATCTTTTACGAAAAGTAGATTTTCCACTAACTATGTTCTTTTCTATTGATTTGCAGAGCAACGATTGCTCTCTAATTTCAGTCCCTGAGATGTCATCTGTGACCTTCCTGTCATCTGTAACAGGAAGGTCATCCCCATATTCAGCATCATGACTGGAAAGCTGACCAACCGATGCATTTTACATTTGAACCACCACGGTCAGTAGGGATGTGTATCGTGTGACATGTTGGAAAAACACCCCTCATGTTTACTGAACCGAACATTGGAGACCACACTAAAGAGTTATTTGCACTAAAACCACTGTTTTGCAGTTTTTTTCTTTATTTATTTCCCTGTATATAATAAAATGATTTTTTTTGTTTGTTTTTGGGAAACCTGGGGAACTGTACAAAAACACTGTTTTAAGACTATGATCTTTGAATGTTTTGCTTTATGATGTTAACAAATCACAAACACAATTTCTAATTTTTCCCACAATTAACACAAAAAAAGAAAGAATTTCTAACATAAGGAGAGACTTATACTGCAACCACTGATTAGGAGTTTGATCGTTGGTTTGTTTCTAACCCTGGATGATTTTGAAAAGCATCTGTTCATGCAGACTGAGTGCTTTTCAGATGATTTTCAGAAAGACTCATCTATTTTTAAACCTCGCCTTTTGGCACCAGGATCCTTGTTTTAATCCAGCCATTTCAATTGTTTTCTTTATTCTGATAAAGATTCCTGTCAGGTATTTGTAGCTCGTGGTATACACAGCCTGTTTTTCAGTGTAGTCCTGTTTCTCTGCCTGTGATGTGCTCTCTTCATCCTCTGACATGGAAACTGGCTTGGAGCTTGTCTGCCTGGCTGTGTGTTTCCTGGATGGGGCCGCCTTTTACTGTTGCATTTTTTGTATCTCTGCTTCTGTCTCCTTGAACAGCCGTCGGCCTCGGCAGATGGCCGCTCATACAGAGTCTGGTTCTGCTGGAGGTTTCTTCCTGTTAAAAGGGAAATTTTCCACTCCACGGTCGCTACAAGCACACTTAGTGTGAGGGATTGCCTTCGAGTCAATTAATCAATGCAGTCAGCTTCTTTTCTGTAGAAACCTTTGAATCAGTTTGAGTGTATGATTTGGTTGAATTGTCCCTGCAAAGTGCCTTCAGACGACATTTGTTGTGAATTGGCGCTATATAAATATACTGAATTTAATTAAATTGAGTCGAACCCAGAACCCTCTTGCTGTGAGGCGATGCTGCTAACCACCACAGCAATCTTAAACATTTCTTTTGATTATAATATATCTACAATCATGAGATTTGCAGTTCGTTGCATAGTTTTATTAGATCAAACCAACTTAAGTAACAGATCTGATCTGGTGGGTACTTCTAAAAGTGGAATTTTAGTCAACAAACAGCAGAAAAAAAAGGTAATGTGCACATACATATGTGTGCACATATATTTACAGCAGTTGGTGATTAGGCCTAAATCACTGAAACAAAGGCCCTCTGTTCACTAGAGGTACCAAAATAAAACCTCTTTTAAATTTTGTTCTGTTCCTCTGACTATGTTGGATACGAGTTTCTGTGAAGCTGCATTTCGCTGTAAGAAAACCTGAAAACCGTTGAGGTTCCAGTGTGGTGCTGCGCGATCAGGTCAGACAAAAAGTCCATCACTCTATAATCATTTTCACTGCTGCAGAATCCAGGCCGACATTGGAAATCATTTCCCATATCTATATGTCCTGCGGTGTTTTTTGGATGCCTAGAAGTGGGTATGAAGGTGTGCAGCAGCACCTGATTGGCAAGTGCAGTCAGACAGCTCTCCAGGTGCAGCAGATAGGTGAAGCCACGGCTGATGCTGCTATGAGGATCGGCCATAAAGCTGATGAGTGATCCAGAGTATGAAGGACAGCGAAGCGTTTTTTGATCAATGTCCAGCAGGGCAATGTAACGACTGAGCTGAGTCAGAGACTGAAGAATGGGAGATGATGTAGCAGAGGATGATCTGAAAAAGGAGCATAAGTTTACATTTATTAATGGAATGCCCCTTGAGATGTGCCATCTCGTTTTCGAGGGGTGCATTAAACAAAACACCAGTTACACAACAAAGTACTATAGAGACGGTATAAACACACATCAAGAATCGCACAGACAAAAACAAACTTGCTCCATAGCTTTTCAAACCCCTCCAAAACCCTTAAACTAAATTTAGGAAAAATAACAATATATATATATATATATATATATATATATATATATATATATATATATATATATATATATAAACCAAAAGAAACGACTATGCAATTTGTAGAAACATAACAAAATTAGATTATACACATTCCAAAGGATGAACTAAAAGTACAAGATATAAAAAATACAGTTACAAAGTAAAACAAATATAAAAAAAACTATTATTATTATTATCAAATAACAACAGTAACAATAACTATAATAATTTCAAATAAAAAAAGCAAACTGAAAGACATAGAGAAAGAGTTTTTATGTGTGCAAAAATGAGGATCTAAATAAACCAAACAATGTTAATGAGCGAATGAATAACAGTAAACTGTTCCAATCAGAGGGGGGTTTGAACTGAAAAACGGACAGCTAAAGTGAATGTATTTAAAGATAAATATAATCCAGTAATAATCGTGTTTTTTGGTGTTTTGTTTGGCTGCAACCAGTTGAGTGTAAGATCCAGTGTCATAACTATTTACTCATAGAGTGATTGTTTATCAGATGGAAAGTTGCCTCTAACTTCACTCATCTAAACTATTTCCTGAAGTATTTATCTGTTCACTTCCACACATGGATCCTCTGTTCCCACAAGATAAACTTCAACCCTTCTGTAAACATCTTTGACAAGGTTTAGGGGTGTATTTATAGTATATATAGATATAGAACCAGACTGTTTACAGGACAGTGAAGTTTCTCCACACCAAACTCTATATATACGCAGCCATGGAAGTGACTAGACATCCAAATCTATTGATCTGTTGGCCTGACACAATACTTTTGGTAATATATTATAGAAGATGTTCCCTGTGAAGAAAACCAGCAACATCAAAACTACATATGGTTTCAAAACACTAAAGTCAAGCTATTAAAGTAACCTAAACAGTTTGGGTATTTTATGGTGCACATTTGACTCTACTTGCTTTCAGTTAAACATATAGCATTTAAAATCCTAGTCCTTATTTTTAGGACCCTTTTAAGGACAGGTGCACAACTACATTACTGGTCTGATCTAGCCCTACAGTACAGTAGCCTGAGGCCTTCAGGTCAACATCTGCTTATGGTTCCTCAAATCTGTTTTGCATGAAGCTCTTCTTTTTCTTTATTAATTTATTTGATATATCAAATGGTCTGCCTCTGCATTGGATTTTCTTTTTAGATGCATGTTGATTAGACAGACCATTAAAGTCTTCAAAAATATGCTCTGAGGTCTTCCCAACAACCATGCTAAGGTTGTGATGATTTCACTCATTTTGGCCTTGTTTAAATCTCTCTAACAACTCAGAATTCCCCACAATGTGATAGACCAGTCAATCTTGATAACCAAACCATTTCCATATTTAGAAGGTTTACACTATGTTTTTTTTTATCATGTTATCCATACAAGTTATTAAATTAAGGAAAATTGCAGAACTTCCTGTACAGTCAGATCTTGTAATAATGTGTCCCACTGTTCTACACTAATTACCACTCGTTTAACGTCTTTATTGGGATGTTTGTTCTAATCATATGTTAGGATCATCTGACCGTCTGAGAGAAACAATCTCTGTGTGTCACTAAGCAGTCGAAAAACTATATCAACATATTAGCCTATATAATCAGATAGTAAGTGATGCTATAAGGTTTACTTTTAGCTTCACGGATCAGATGAGGGAAAAGTCTGAACAGAGTATTATTATTATTGTGTCAGTGTTACAGCCTTAAATCACGGATTGGGTGTCAGCAGTGCAGATGTACAGAATACATGCAGCTGTTATTTTCCAGTCACATCATGTCTTTCAAACAGACTAAAACAAAGCATGAAGGGGTGTTAAAGAGGAAGAAGGAATTAATACTCTTATTAAAGTAATGCAGAGCAATGTGCTGTTCAATTCACATCATTTTCACCTGTGTACTCCTATGAGCCTCCAGGTCAAAAGGTTGGCCATCTGAAGGGGCGTGGTCAAACTCCACATCACAGCACTTCCATCAGGACCAGGAGCTGGCAGGAAGAGCCTCAAGCCGTCCACCAGCTTCCTCACCAAGCTCTCATCTCCCCCGACGACGACCAAAGGCCGGCCGCTCAGCAGACAGAAGATGGCATGCTGGGAGAACGACAGTTGCTTGATCAGCCTGAGGGCTCGGAGGGCAGCCCTCCTCCTCCTTCTCTTCTTGTCCACGCGCGTCTTTGTTACATTAGCTGTAGTAGGAGACGGTGGCTCTGAGTTGCTGGTGAAGCTGGTGCAGTCGGACACTTCGTCCACACTGAGCAGCCTCAGAGGAGCACAGGGTGGAGAGCGCAGACCAACCTCCACCAGGGGGAAGGGAGGAGACGTTTTAAAATGGAGGTCAAGCATTGGCCTGGACTGCTTTGGCCTCACCTTCACGGTTTCTTCAGCTGCGTAGAAACAGATTTGTCACATTTCATAACTACAATAAAACTTGCAACCTTTCAGACAAACTATGAACAGAGTCAGAGAAATTAAAAACATTTCTAAACATTTTACCTTTTAAGAAGAAATAACATTACTCATCAAAACCTTTAAAATAATAACAAAAAGAATATATAAAAGCAACTATTGATGCTTAAGTAGTTTGATAATATTAGGTAGTTTAAGGTAGTTTTCTATATATATAGAAAAAAAGACACAAATGGCAAAGAACAAAAAAAAACAAAAAAGTAAAATCAAAAAGGTAACTAGACTGGTAACGACTGACACTGCGTCTGAAACCAACTAGTGAGGTAACACCTTTTTTTCACAGAGCCATCCAAAAAAAAAACCATACATATGTTTATTCTAACTAGTTTGCGGCATCTTTAATCCTACAGAGAAAACATCTCTCTTGCACGGGTCTATCTACGGTAGGTCTCCCAAGAAATACAGCATCATTGTAAGCCACCTGCAGCCTTTGCAAGCTTCTTTTTTATTATTTGAAATATGTGTTGTGTAAAGAGGTGCACAGAATGATTTAAACATTTTCAAATTATCTGCACAAGATCCAAACTTGCCTGCTAGTGCAGTTGCCTGATCATATAATGTTCTCTGTCGTCTATTTAGGTGCTCATTAACCTTTAAAAAAGTTGGTGACCTTTGGTCTATTCTAATCGGAAAATTTAGAATAACACTGTAACTACACTGGGAAACGGGCTTTTTATATTAGAAAGAGATTTATACTCAAAGAAGCAGTTTCTTACAGACTTTTTTTCTCTCTCCTATTAAATATGACTCATATATGATTTATCTGCAATGTTCAGTTTCTTCTGTCCCCAAACTGCAAATTTAACATTGATCTTTACACACAAACTAGACGACGAAAACCGAAACATTTTCTTTAATTCAGTGTCCTGTTCAGAGAGACCATTAAAATGATTGAAAGGAATGTCTGGCTGCCTGAAAGAAAATAGTTCAATAGGCTATTATTTCAGCTGTAAACAAGGGTGTAGGTTTGATCTCAGCTTTGGTAAGGACTCTATAGTTCTTAAGTTGAATTGTTCTGATGTCATTGGTCCTACTCATTATGCATGCTCCTATTTTTGTATCCTATTTTTTTATCAGGGCGCATTTCGTTTAAAGAGAAAACAGCATTTTTTTTGCTACATTTATACAACTTTAGTGGCTCGGAATAATGTAAAATTGGGACGACTTAACACTTTGAAAAGGGGTTACATATGAACTTACCAGTGACTAAGACAGAAGGTAAATATGTGCCTTTTTAACCAAATATAGTCTAAATATGTCTGTTGTATGTGTATTTATTATCAGGTGTTTTATTTTGAAGAAATAGAATTCTGCAGAGGTAAAACCCACTTTTATTTATCTATTTTTTTATCTGATATGCTGATATTCTCTGTATTGTAAAACTAAGCAAAAATTACATATTCAAGGGACTGCAAATAGATTTATTGTATTTACATGGACGCGGGAACTATAAGAGGAACTGACACTGAGCTTTAAAATATTAACTTCAATATACAAGTTGTGAGAAAAGAAGCGACTGTTGGTAGGGACATGTCCCCATGGTCCCTATGCAAACCTACGCCCATGACTGTAAACCTACAAATGAAGAAAATACGTTTTTGGACTAATCTCATGTCTTCATAATTATATTACCTGGAGGAAGTTTATGCATCTTTTCTGAAGTAGTGTCTTCATGGACTCTCTTATTCTTCTCTGTGAATGAATCTTCTTTGAGAAGCACGCCATTGCTGGTCTCTGTCTTTTCTAAAGGATCTTTTCTTCCACTATGTTCTTCCCTTCCCTTCTCTGAAGCTGGAAGGTTCATCTCTTTCTCCTCTCTCAGGATTTCATCTGACTTACATCCAACCTGTAATTCTCCTTCCTCTTCAAATCCGTTGCTCAAAGACTGATGCTCTGCTTCTTCCTCTGTGATGGCAGTGAGGTCTTCAGGGATGATGGATTCAGTGGTACTGAGTACTTCTATGCTGTCCTCACTGTTTGCACGTTTGGCGTAGGCTCGCACATGGAGACGCCGCAGACAAACATCTCCTGTTCCCGCTGGTGTATCTGTGAAAAAAACAACATAAGTTACTAATCTAATTATTGCACTATGGATAACATCAATAAAGCAACGATTAAAAATTTATGATTTGTGGCATTTTCATCAACCGCTACATGCTTAAAAGGGATAGCTTGAATTATTTTCAGATACGCTCGTCCACCCCTCAGCTGAGATATGAATACACAGATAATCAATTATTTTGTGACTAATCAAGCTCTATAAAAGATCCTGAAAGAAACTAACTCAAAACCCATCAAGCTGTTTATCTAATGCATGAAAAAATGCAGAAATTATGCTCCTAAAACTACAGGCTGGGTGTTTTCTTGCTGCAGCAGATGCCCTGAGAGAGAGAGAGAGAGACCGACGCTACCTAATGTCAGCCTTTCTGCTGATTCTTCTCTAAAATGTAGATTTTTAAAACAATCTAAATTACCTCTTTGGCCTTTTGAAGTTTTTCACGTAAAATGCTTAATAAGTGAAAAGAAATTCACTTTATGACGTGTAATCCAAGTGATTAGAACCACACAGTTTTGTACTCTTCATTCCAAAATCACAATCATTTAAAAAGGTTTTAAAGATGCTATCATTGTTTTAGCAAAATATGCAAACTGGCAATAAAAAAACAGCTGGATTTTTAAGGATGGATTCTCACAGCAGGATTTAAATCAACATTGAGTCAAACATCATATTATAGAAAGTTAACTGCAGATTATCTGTGTTGACAAGGGGAACAAATTGGTTAAAATGATGACTGATGAACAACTTAAAACATTTTGATGGATATTTAGCATTAAAGTTGTGTTGACCTCTAACAGGTGGTGAGTTACTTAGCTGAGGGACATTGAAGATCCCCAAATCCTAATAAAGCATGCTGTGGACAGTGAAGCTGAAGAAAGCAATGATAACATTTATCTATAAAAACTCTTGTTTACTTTTTTTTTTTTTTTCATCTGATTGGTTTTTGTACATGTTCATGTGCAACATCAGAATAGTCCCATATGGATTATTACAATGTCATTACCAGATGTGCTGCTTACTCTGTTCTTAATTGCTGCTTTAAATTATTATATTATTTTTAGTTCCTTGTTTCATTTTATCTATGTTATTTACAATTTATTGATTTATGCATATAATTGTCTATTTTTTATATCTTTCAATATAAATCTTATATAAACACTTATATGATATTTCTGCCCAACTGCCTTCACACTGGCTGTTACTGGCTGTAGAGTAGGAAAAAATACCTTTAAAAATTTTTAAATTAAACTACAATGCCTGAAACTAAAATTCAATATTTTCTCACGCTTTTCAGTTGTAAAAAAAAAAGAGGTATGTGTGTTTGGGGGAATGGAAGATTTTATATTGAATTTAAATCAAAACAGCCAACAAATCTGATAATCTATGTGTTGCAACCTTCCAAAGTGTGTTTGGTTTCTTTTACCAAATATTTGACTAGTTTTATATTTTAATTTTGAGATATGGATATGACAATATATTGAGCTTTGTTTAAAAAAATGTAATTAGGTGTTTAACTTGTTTCTTAAAGGCAGTAATTAGCTTGCTAATCATTTATTCAGTTGAATATTTTTTTTTGATAATTGGATAGGAAGACGTGGCTAACTAAATATTTTAACAGAATTTGAACCAGAAATCCATCATTAATGGGTTACACATCCTTATACAAGCACACATCAAGGACTTACCTCTGCTGTCAGACGCAACCGTCGCCTGTTGAGTCTGATACGACTTTTCAGTTCCAAGCACTTCAATGCTGTCGTTGCTGCTTATGCTCCCCATCAACTCTGTGGCTAAAGTGGGGTCAGGGGTCGCCCTCTCGCTTTCTCCTGCATCCATCTTTATGGATATCTCTTCCACACAGGAGAACGACTCCCCGCCATGCCTTCCTGATTGACCTTCCACAGCACCGCTCCTGCCCCCCGAGACTGCCTGCACCTCCTCCTCTTCCTCCTCTTCAGCATCCCAAGGGGAACACAGCTCAAAGAGGAAGTTTGTAAATTTCAGCCTTCTGGACAGAGACTGTGTGACACGAGACGTTAGCAGGACGCTCCTGTCACCACGCAGACAGTGCTCTGTGTCTGCGAGCTGGTTTTTCATCAGTGACAGGAAATAAAAGTTGCAGAGCTCCTCCAGTGGCTTAAGAAGCTGCTCAGACCTGCAGCAGGTGGAGTTGGGAAGGGAGGGAGGGGATGGCTCAGAAGGCAGGAAATTGGTCAGGTCTGCAAGGGAATCAGCTGGGTCATAAGGGAGGAAATCAGGTTGCTTGAGCTTCCTATTGGGGTAAGATGTAACCTGCCGAAGGAGGTCCCTGTGATTTGTGATTGAATGCTCTAAAGCTTCAAGCTCATCTGATTTCTCTTCTATTTCTGTGGATCTGTTCATCGTCTTCTGAAGATCTGTTTCCTGCAGCAGGGTCCATCGTCTGTACCTGGAGCAGTCAGACCGGATGTTTAGTCCAAGTTAACAGACATAGCAACAAAAAAGACACACTTTACGATTTGGTGAAGAACCCTGGGGAAGCTGCAAAGATCCTTGGCTGTTGTTCAAATGTCTGTTAAGATGACAACTACTATAGACACTATGGAGGAGTGGCCAGACTAAATCCTCTTTTGAAGAAAAGCCCTAAGAAGTAATATTTGGCATTTGCTCCAAGCCATGGAGGAACACAGATGAGACATAAATGAAACATTTAACCTACATACAAATTGCTACATGAGACAAAAAAGTATCACGGCACATCACTCAGAACACCCCATATGCCATGGTGGTGATAGGTATGCTGTGGGGATGCTTATCATGGAGAAAAGGACAGAGATGAATACAGGGTTGTTCTGGTAGAAAATCAAATAAAAGCTGTAAACGACTTGAAACTGGAGCAGAGGCTCCCCTCCCAGCAGAACAATTACTCTGAAATTAAAGCCAAAGTGACTAAGAACTAGGTTTAGATCAAAACATCTTCAAGTGTGAGAGTGGACCAGTCTGAGTCAAGATCCACATTTTTCTAAGCCTCCGTTGCCGCACGCATCAATACTTCTTTGATCTGTTTGTCTGCCTCTGTCTCAATTCAATTTAAATTCAGTTCATTTATATAGCACCATTTCACATAACATGTCATCTCAAGGCACTTTACAGAAAAAATTCAACCAGATTATACAGTCAGATTGGTTCACAGTTTTCTAAGGAATTACCAGCTGATTGCACCAAGCATGCATGTAGCGACAGTGGAGAGGAAAACTCCCTTTTAACAGGAAGAAAGCTCCAGCAGAGCCAGGCTCAATGTGAGCGTCCATCTGTTTAGACCAAGTGGGATTCAAGGAGACAGGAAAAGACATACAGAAAGAAGAGGAGATACAAAAGCCAACTGTCAACCAGCTCCACACGCATCCCCATCCAGGAAACACACAGCCAGGCAGACGAGTTCCAACCCGCAACTATGTCAGAGGATGAAAGAGAGCACATTCAGTTAGTCAGCCCTTTTCAGACTGGCCGAAAAACCAGTTTAAAACCGGGAACAATCGACTTTTAGTGGCAGTGGGAACAGCTCACTGACGCGTGTCTAACCGGGTCAAACAACTTGGCCAGAGACTCAGGTTAAAATCGCCTTGGCTCTGATCGGCATGCTGTGGGAACACCAGACCCGCTAAACTATGTGACACCATTGAACGCAACATACGGTAGTCTGTCTTCCAAGTCTTATCTAACAAGCCGAAACAACTCTGTTTACAGCTCTGGTGGGAGGGAATCACAGGGACGCAAGAGTGAAAGAGTAAAGCAGCCCTGGCTTCCTTACATGTCTCTCTTAATTTTTTACTTACAGAAGCCACGCAGCTTGCCAGCAAGGGGTTAGACCCAGATGTTTTTGCCAGTGGGAAGGGAGCCAAATTCCGATTGTTGGCAGGTTTGTAACTATGCTTGAAAAAACCGATTTAACGTGCCATTTTCAGTGGCGTAGAGGCTTATGAGAAAAAGAACTACACTGAATAACAGGCAGATCTCCAACATCTATAAACAAATATGTTGATGGCAGCAGCACAGCTGATATTTCTCTCCAGGATGAAGTCCCAGCCAAACAGGAACAGACCAGATCAAGCTACTATGATGAGAAAAAGCAGAGAGATCATAACATCAGAGACTAAACTAACAAATACTACATAATATGAGAACAGAGATAGAATGAAGAGGGGTGATGAAAAGGGGTCCCTATGTCCTCCAGCAGTCTAAGCCTATAGCAGCATAACTATAGAGATAGCTCAGGATAACCTCAGCCACTCTAACTATAGGCTTTATCTAAAAGGAACATTTTATGATTTGCCTTAAAAGTATACAGGGTGCCTGCCTCTCCACTGTGGCTGCATGTGAGCTCAGTGAGAGGGTTTGCTGCAGAGTCAGGCAAATGCAATGCAGGCAAATGTCTACTGTCACCACATATTCATCCCGGAGGAGCAATTCCTGCAAAGTTAATGACCTGATGCAAGCAGCTGGGATGTATATACGTATAAGCTGTATTGAATTGAAATTAAAAAATTATGTTCTCAGATGCACTCCATTCAGTCTAACTAAGCAGAAATGGAAAACCTTTTAGTTGTCATAGTACTTGTACAAAGCTATATACCCAAAAGCATTGGAGCTGTTATTGCAATTCTACATTGTACCAAATACAAGAAATAAAAAACACTTTTTTTCTCTGATTTTAAATAACTAGCGTTGGTATAACCTAGCATTAGTTTCAGTCTGCCCCTAAATGAATCTAGTGTTAACTTACTGGTTTAACAGAAATCCCGTTCTAAGCCAGCAAGATGGAGCAAATATGCTTCTTCTTTAATCAATGTAAACAAACAAACTAGAGGATCTTACTCAAGGTCCTGTAGTTTTCGTTGGAGCTCTGTGGAGAAAGCTTGTCTGTTTCCCGTCTTCAGGCTATCAGACGCCTGAGAAAAACGCTCCGACAGCTCGGAAAAATTCTCCATCAGCTTCATCTGGTCTGAACAGACATAGGCCATGCAAAAAGGTCGCACCATACCCCGAGCCTCCAGGTCATACAGGGTCAGGTGATGAACGTATGCAAAGGCATCCTCTGTTGAATCTCCAAGGATGACCCTGGAGTCCTCACTGAAGTTAAGTCGGGGTCCTGGAGAAGCAGGAGGGGTGTGGCCCGGGCCGGAAGCCTGGTAGTCCACCGACATGATGCGGACAGAGAAGTGATTGAGGTCGAAAGAGCCGACAACATTTGGGTCATTTGGTATCGTCAGGACAGGCTTTGGCCCAACCTGAAGAAAAGAAATGAATTTATATCCAATTTGCCATTTACAGTAACAGATATCTAGATTTACATTGACTCAACCATCTGGTACATTTCTGTGTGGATAACCTGGCTCATTTAGCTTTTTGTCATGTTTAACATATTCCCTTAACCAACTGGGCTAACACCAATCCAAATACTACTGTTGGGAAATATTCATAGAAACAGAAGAATTTTTGATTATTTTCTGATATTTATCGTTGCCATGCTTTGAGTGCATACCTAGAATAAAGAGTGATCTCTTTCTGTTCGTGTGAGGTCTAGTGTTGTGTGAGAGCGATGGCTTCTCTTTGGGACTGCTTCTTTATTCTATGAAAAGTTGCTTTAGAGCAGTTCTCTTTCAAGAGGACACACTTCCTGATAAAGTGCAGCCAAACCCACCTCAAATAACTGTAAACTGTTTCACAAGATAAATAAATAAATTAACTTCATAAAAACAATGATCATGACAGGAATAACAAAGGGTGCGCCGTAAGATTTGCTTTTTCAATCTGTAGGATAATTTTACCAATTGTAAAATATTTATGTAATAGTTGAACCATATTGATGCCATAGTAATATAGTTTCAGCTCTTCCAGGTGCTCTGTTCTCTCCCATCCATCTCAATGGAGCCTCAACATCCACTCTAAGCATGGTTGACCCCACATACTTCAACTCATCCACCATTTACTCCTCACTTACAAGCTTCCTCGGTCTCCTTCACAAACATTTATTCTGTCTTGCTTGTATTGATTTTTATCTCTGATCGTTATAAACCAACATTCCCTTTCCACTTAATATTCTTATAAAAAGGTCACAGTTGTGAATATTGGGTGTCCATTTGCACCACCCACCTTCTCACTGTCCTTTCACATGTTCTGACACACTTGACTTCTTTATGCAGCACCGCAGTTCCCTGTCTTGGCACCTAATGGTATATTTCCGTATGTTTTATTTTGATCCACAACTTGTCCTCATTGGCTGTAAATCAAAATCTCTTTCAGCTCTGTATACGACACCTCAGTGTCAGCCCTGTAACAAGCTTCGAGAACACCGAGGTCATGTCCTCGCTATTTTCCCTATTTTCTTTTTATTATTACTTTTTTTTTTATTCAAAGAAATGTCAAACTATATGATGAAAATTGCTCTGACTTTGATTGGTGTAAAGATCAGCATGCATTCTCATTTGTTTAAAAATAAAGTCCACAATCATATTATTGCAAATCATTTGATTCATTTAGTGGGCCATGCACATGAATGATGATGATGGTGACAATAATAATAGTGGTAATAATCTTCCAGTATTAATAACAACAATAATAATATAAAATAACAATGATTATAATGAATAGTAATAACACTCACTCACTCATACTCACTCAAGTACTCTAATTTTGTGAGTTTTGGAATTGTTATAATAAACATGTTCATATTCACCTCTTTGATGGGCAAGTGATTTAACTCTCTTTATTCACGTTTCCAAAATATATTTTAAAAAGTCAGCATATTGTTATGTTTTTTTGTCAAGTAAGATTTATCGCAATATTTCACCTCGGTAACTCACATTTAAACTTATACTATACTAATAAATGCTTACGATTATTTATTTATGTGATAATTGCAATACTGGTTTGTTTCATTTATTTATCTACTAATTTGCTGATCTTTCCATCTTTTTAGGCATTTTTCTACTTCATTCATTTTGTTTTTATTCATTAACTCTCTTTTTTATATAATTTCTACATTTTTTTTTCTTATTCGTGTATCATTTTCTGTTTCTATTTATTTACTAATCAGTAGTTTCTTTAGTAATCAATTAAATCACTTATTTATCTACATAGCCAATCGTTTATTTTTCTGTTTCCTTATTCCTCATTCATTTTTTAATAATAAATCAACAGGTAATCAATGTATTTTGGTGTCCCGCTATAGAAAGTACCCACCTGCTCTGAGAACTCAGCCACCAGGATAAAGTCCCGGTGAAAGTGCGCTGCTGTGCTCCAGGGGTTAGAAGGAGGCAGGAGCGGCACAGAAAACTCCTCAGGCAGATCCTGAAGCTCCGCTTCTTCTCCCTCCTCATCAAAGCCACTGCTGCCCGTGAAGGCCAGCAGGTCCGGTGACCCGATCATCCTCAGCCCATAGAGCCTGATGGAAACTTTCACCCAGCAGAGGAGGTGGAGCGGTCAGTCAGCGCTATGTCCCGCTCAGCTGCCTGGCAGTGAGTCAGCTGTTCCTGCTGGACCACATAATAACCAGAGACTTACAAACAAGCTGCGCGGTTATTTTCGGCAACGAGGACAGGCCAGACGCTGAAGCAAACGGAAACTCGGAGGAGGGTCCGTCTCGCTTTTCATTTCAGCTTCTGACTCGTAAAAACAAGCGGCGATATAAGGAACAGACAGAAAACTTTACGATGTGAAAACCAAGCTGAAGTCAGTGTCTGGTTTGGAGTGGCTCCTTCACATAAACAGTTATTGTAGCAGCATTCAAGACTAACATTGGTTGATCAGAGAAATCAGTCACTATATTATATTATATTATATTATATTATATTATATTATATTATATTATATTATATTATATTATATTATATTATATTATATTATATTATATTATATTATATTATATTATGCTCTTTCTGCCTGAAGTTTGCATGTTCTCCCTGAGCATTCATGGGTTCTCTCTGGGTACTCCGGCTTCCTCCCACAGTCCAAAAACATGACTGTTAGGTTAATTGGCTTCTCTAAATTCCCCTTAGGTGTTTGTGTGAATGGATGATTTTCCTGTTTGTCTCTTTGTTGCCCTGCGATGGACTGGCGACCTGTCCAGTGTGGACCCTGCCTCTTACCTGTAGGTGGAGATAGGCACCAGCATCCCTCGCAACCCTGATTTAGATATGCGTGACGGAAAATGGATGGAATAATATAATATAATCTCTGCACAACAAATGTATGATATCAGATTACTAACTACATAACATGACATCATATAATATGATACAATATAAAATAATATACTAATGTGAAATACGATAATATAAGGAAAGTGTTGGCCTAATGGATTAGAGCAGTACACTTCTGCTCTGAGACAGTGGCCGTAACCGGTTTGATCCCCACAGCCTCCAATCTGGGTTCTTGAGCAAACCCCCCGGGATAGGGTTAAGGTAAATTTCTCCAATGTAAGATCAATAAAGTTCAATTAGTTATAATATAAGTAAGAAGGTTGTTCTTCTCCCCCCACCATTTTCCCGAAAAGGGTCTGTAGAGAATGGCTTGTTGAATAGATAAAGTAATGTTAGATTAGTGAGCAACCCTGGGTTTTAGTTCTGTCCCTTTCTCCATGAAGTTTACAGTTTACTATTTCGTTCCTTATGTCACAGCCCAAAGCTCATCAGCATATGTAGATGAATGTGTAGGAGCATAGATCATCTGGTAAATTTAGAGCTTCACGTTTGACTTAGCTCTCTTTCCCACTGTCTGGCACAGTACCCACTATCAATCCCCAGCTCCTTTTTTCACTCATTTGTGAACAAGAACCCAAGAGACTTTTCAACTTAGGGCAGGACATCTTCTGCACTTTTCAGGCTCAATGCACTCATCCAAGTCGCTCCACAATCAGCTGCAAACTGCTCCAGCGAGAGCTGTAGATCACGGCCTGCTGAAGCCAACAGGACTATGTTATCTACAAAATGTAGTGACACAATCCTAAGGTCACCAAAATGGATCCCCATAATACCCTACCTGTTTCTAGAAAATCTGTCCATAAATGTTATGAACAGAATCAGTGACAAAGGGCAACCTTGGCAGAGTCCACTCACTGAGTCCGACTTACTGTTGGTGATGCGGACCAAGCTCTGACACTAATCATGCAGGGACATATTAGCTTTTATCAAAGGGCCTGGAACACAATTCTCTTGGAGTACCCCGACAGGATCTCCTGACGGACACAGTCCAAAGCACCTGGACCGCTTGGAAAAAACTCACATGCACCCTGCAGGACCCCGCTGAGGGGGTAGAGTAATTCCATTGTTTCCTGACCAGGACAAAACCCACACTGCCCTTCCTGAATCTGAGGTTTGATGCACACTTCTCTCCAGGATCCCTGAATAAACCCCGTTTTAATCAGTTACTTAGACATGCTAAACCTAGAGTTAATTGTTGGATCTATGTTAAAATACGAAAATCAGAGCATACATTTCCTTCATCTAAGATATTCAATATACCAAAATTTTAACTTGTCAAGAAAGGAATGCGCCTTTATTAAAGTGCCGGGGGTCAGAAGCGACCAATCGGATACTAACTTCAGAGTTGCGCATTAGAAAGTTCCCTGTGGGCTGCAGTCATGAGGTCCTAACTCCACCTAAGTCCCGGGAGTTTTGTTCCTCTTTCACTTCTGCTTCGAGGCAGCTTTAAGTTTTTAGTTTAATATTTTTAACAATGTGACATGCAGAAAAAACCTTCTGAAAAATCTGAACTAATCATTCCTGTCCAACTCACATGAAAAGAAGAAAAAATAAATGATTCTTCTGAGCTTCTGCTTAAGGAACATGATATTAAAAAGTGCATTGTGGGTAAGGAATAGGGTCTATTAAATACTTAATTTTAGTTAATTCAGTAGGAAGAAGACCAAATTTTTTTTTTTTTTTATTGCCACAATCAAGATTTCCCATTCAGCAACGTTTTTATTGTTTACGGCATTAGTAAAATCATAAAGCACAAAGAAGCAATTTGAAACTGATGACAATCATATGATAAATCTTCAGCTGCTGCATGCCCTGCTTTCTGTATGAAATATGTGCTTCCCTTTTATCTATTATGACTGCGTCGGAACTGTTACAAACCCATGCAACTATTTGATGACATCCATTCCTTCAGCTATGCAGATTTCCTCGCTCTTTGTTCTCTGTTGTCATGCCAAAAAAACTCAGGCAGTCAGAGTTTAAATAGCTTAGTTATTGCTTTTTATTGTATCTGAGGCAATAAACATTATTTTCTTTTCAACCACCTTTATTGGCCCATCCTTTAGAGGTATATAAGCAGCCTTACAGGCTATATTCTTTTTTCTTAAGTGTAAATAGGAATTACTACCAAGTAGGCTGACAAACCAGGTTTGTTTAAGCAGACATACAACCTCTGCAAAGCTATAGTGGCATCTGGGGGGCACCATAGAAACCATTCTACTGGAACTGTAAGTTGAATCATGTGTTCGTGATTACATAGTACTACTAAAGGAAAAAAAAAAAAAAAAAAAAAAAACATGTCCTGGCCCTTTGCTAAGTGTGGTGGAGGATTAGTCATACTGTGGGCCTGTTTCTTTTCAATGGCCCTTAGAATCTTGTTAGACAGTATGAAGACTTAAACTATTGTAAACAAATAAATCTAGTGGACCCTGTTGAGTCTTTATGCTTGCAAAGGATGTTTATTTCAAAATGTGTGGGCAAAACAACAGAATTGGATCAACCTTCCATGACCGGGTCGGTCTCCAGAGCTTAGTTTTGTAGATGATAAAAGAGGACCAATAATGATTTGGATTGAGAAAAAGGAATGCTCAGATGTACCTCTATTAGTATGTGAAACCTACTATTTTTTTTAATGGTTTTCATTTTATTGTCTGAATATGAATGATACACTAAGAGATGTTTTATATCCCAATAGGCAGATTATGACCCCTACCCTCGACCACCTTCAGCTTTCCTCTGAAGGAGGTGGACTCACATGATGGAGACCTCCGGGTGATTTGATGCCCTGGTTTTCTTTATCTGGGTGATGCTTGTTTCTTTTTGTGACATCTCCCTTTGGAGTAGCTAGTAACAGACTCAATGACATAAGGTGAGAGGCTCAGTCCTTCATGGAGAGCTAGCAGGAGAGAAATAGAGCAGGGTTGGTTTTGTAACTGGACCAGGACCATTTCTAGGCATCTTCTCTTGGAGGTTTTCAGGGCGTGGCCCAGAAGGAGAACCAGGAATGGACCTGAACTCAATAGAGGGGATCTATGCCTTCCTTTACTCAACCTCAGCCAAACAACTTCTCTGTTTCTGTTTTCTGTTTTCTGTTTCTGCGTCCCCAGGTTCACCACCAATCACATCGTGAAGTTTGCGGACGACACCACGGTGGTGGGCCTCATCAGGGACGACAACGACCGGGACTACAGAGAGGAGGTGGAGCAGCTGGTGGACTGGTGCAGTGAAAACAGTCTGATCCTGAACGTGGAGAAGACGAAGGAGATCATCGCCGACTTCAGGAAAAACCGCCCCCACCATGCTCCACTGCTCATCAACAGCTCAGCTGTGGAGGTGGTCAGCAGCACAAAGTTCCTGGGGGTGCACATCACGGACAACCTCACCTGGACTGTAAACACTTCATCTCTAGTGAAGAGGGCACAGAAGCGCTTGTACTTTCTGCGGAGGATGAGGAGAGCCCGCCTGCCCCCGCCCATCCTCACAACCTTCTACAGAAGCACCATAGAGAGCGTTCTGACCAGCTGTCTCTCTCTGTGGTGTGGAGGCTGCAGAGCTTCTGACTGGAAGAATGTGAGGAGGGTGGTGAGGACAGCGGAAGGAATCATTGGGGCTCCTCTTCCCTCCATTAAGGACATTTCATCACAGCGCTGTGTGTCCCGAGCCCGTAATATCATCAAAGACCCCTCACACCCCCACCATGGACTGTTCTCCCTGCTGCCCTCTGGAAAGAGGTTCCGCAGCATCCGCTGCAGATCCACCAGGTTGTGCAACAGCTTCTTCCCCACTGCCATCAGACTGTTGAACCTTTGATCCACAATCCGAACTCTGCACCTATTGCACATTATCGGGCATCAAATGCTGCTGAACTTTTAACTTTTAGCCCTTTAAATTGTTCATCTCATTGTATTTTTCAATAACGCATTTTTTGCACAAATGCCATTTTGCACTGAACCACTGCAACTTGCACACTGTCTCTTATCCTCTGCACTGTTCACACTTTGACCACTGCTGCACTTTTTGTATTTTTCTATAACTCGTGCCATTTGAAATATCAATGCAACGTTCATAAGCTGTATGTAACGCAATTTCGTTCTGTATGCACCCTGTGCATACAAAATGACAAATAAAGAAGTCTAAGTCTAAGTCTAAGTCTAAGTCTATTCTTTCTCACTATTTAAAATTTTGACTTTGAGCCTTCTAAAGTGCTTTGTGAAAAATTTATCTTATTGAAGGGGAATTCTGAGCTTGGTCTCAAAGTCACTCATAGCTACTTCTAATCTTTGTGAATACAGGACCTGGTTCATATTCTTGACATGCATTTTATTACATAAACCTGAGCCTAACTCTTAGTCTGTATGTAACACATTAAACCACCTAAACATTTGTTTTAATGCTTTACATTAATGCTG